TCAAATTCTTTGGGAGAACAGCTTTCAAGCGTTCTTAATAGCCAAGCCATCTTTCTAGCCCCTATATCAGAACTTTTCATTGATTATTTCACGGGACCTGAAACAAAATACTTGCCTTAGCCCTGATGCTACAACCTAAAAGCCATGGTGATTGTGAGGTGGGGTCAGACAAACCAGAGCAAAGACTCCGGGCTATCAGGTCACTCTATGCTCTCCCCAGTACAGATACAATTAAATCTCCTCTCCTGACACCCGCTATTATCTGTACCCTCAGCTGACACAGTAAGATTGCAGAAGCTGACTTTTTTTTCACCTCTTAAAATGACAGTTACACAGGCTGGAGAGATGGCTCGGGAGTTACAAACACCGGCTGCTCCAGAAGAGGACTAGGGTTTGGTTTCCAGCACCCACACAATGGCTTAAAACTGTCTGTAACTCTAGTCCCAGGGGATCTGATGTCCAACCCTGACCTCCGTGAGCACTGGGCATACATGTGGTCCTCATACATCCATGCAGGCAAAACACTTACACATTGAAAATAAAGAAATTAAATAAAATTTAATTCTGGTCTGTTGTGAGCTAAAAAATGATTTGGACTCATTTAACAATTTAAATTTATGTTAGCACTTAGTTCTAAGCCTGTTTGGTAGCAAGGAAGCTATAAAACACCATAAGGATGTGTAGAGAGCACCCGAATATACAGAGACATACACAGAACACCAGACAACCCCAGCTTTTAAATCTGTCCTTTTGAAAAGGTAAGGTTTTCCCCTAGAATCCTGGCAGAGAATTCACTGTAGAACCATGGACTCGGAGCCTAAGGTGGCCACTGATAAAGGTTAAGGTTCAGATGTACACTCAGACAGAAGCATGAGTCATAGCATGAAGCTACTCACGTGGATGTGGGCAATAGCTTCTTCTCATCCCACAGCTAAATAGCAGAGGAAGAGATCCTTCCAGAAGACTTCCTCTATATGACTTTAGGCCAAAGCTTTTTTTCTCTTTTTAAGATTTATCTATTTATTCTATGTATCTGAGTCCATCATAGCTGTCTTCAGACACACCAGAAGAGGGGGCATCAGATTCCATTACAGATGGTTGTGAGCCACCATGTCTTGGAAATTGAACCTCTGGAAGAGCAGTCCTTAACTGAGTCATGTCTCTAAAGGAAAGAGATAAAAATAGAGACGGCTGGATGGATCAGGCTGGCTCCTGTTCCTGTGTAATGCTAATGCAGGTTATGGAGCCCTTCCTAAACCAGACTACGCAGGTCATCCAGTGCCAACTGTTAGCGCAGCCGCTGACGGTCACATGCTCAGGCTGCTGCTTTGCTCTGCAAGCCTCCTTGGAAACATGTCTTCCTGGGTTAGAAGACACTGACCAGCCAGTGCCATGTTTAAAGAGACAGATAATGGAGTAGCTAGGGTTTTAACCTCTTACAAAATGAGAATATATAGAGCCTAAATTCATCTATCGTGGCCTTGGAAATTCTCAAAGCCCCCGTTTCAGGACCTCACCTAGTGAGAGTCCTAAGATCAGCAGAGTTCCCGTTACTTGAAGCTGTGAGGCAGACAGGTGAGACTGCACTGAAGAGGTAAGGTTTCCGTTCCCCTAAGGACACCAGCTTTACAGAAAACAGTGAAGGTCAGAGTGGCAGCATCCGTAGATGAGAGGCTGGAAGAGAACAGAGGTTGCCTTTAAGAATTTAGGACTAGGGCTGGAGAGATGGCTCAGCAGTTAAGAGCACCGACTGCTCTTCCAGAGGTCCTGAGTTCAATTCCCAGCAACCACATAGTGGCTCACAATCATCTGTAATGGGGTCTGATGCCCTTTTCTGGTGTGTCTGAAGAGAGCAATGGTGTGCTCATATGCATACAATAAATAAATCTTAAAAAAATATTAGGGCTAGCCAGGGCATGGTTGCACATGTATTTAATCCCAGCATCTCGGAGGCAGGGAAGGAGGACAAGAGTTAAAGGCCAGCCTGGTCTACAGAGCCAGTTCTAGTATAGCCAGAACTACACAGAGAAACCCCATCTCAAAAAGCAAACAAATAAACAAACAAACAACAAACAAACAAAAACTTAAGGCCAATATAGAAAATAGAATGACCACTCTTAAAAATGTTTTGCAGAGCTGGGCAGTGGTGGTGCATGCCTTTAATCCCAGCACTTGGGAGGCAGAGGGAGGCGGATTTCTGAGTTCAAGGCCAGCCTGGTCTACAGAGTAAGTTTCCGGACAGCCAAGGCTACACAGAGAAACACTGTCTCGAAAAAAACAAAAACAAAAACAAAAAAAAAAAAGTTTCACAGACTGGACTGCTTTGGAGAGCAAGGCAGTTTCTTTCCATGGCATCTCTGGCTGTTCTCTTGGAGGTAAGAGAGTGGCTTAGAAAATCTGGGGGATTACCCCTTAACGATGATGTCCCCCAAGAAAGGTCGTTTACTGTTCTGTCTGAGCTAGAAAAAGAGTGTAGATGAATCTAGGGAATTTACCTTCTATGTCTGCATCATTTGGTAAACATTAACTGGGATCTGTCCAGAAAAAGAAAACCAAAGAAACCAAGACCACACATATAGCAGGGCACATCAGCCAAGCAATGGTCAGGGACACTCACCCGTGGTACTTTGGGTGAACTCAGGAATGAGCCCCCAAGATGTCAGAGGTGACAGAATGACAGAGACCTAGAGCTACCATGTCACCTTCAGCTGTCCAAGTTGGTCCATTAATCTTGTAGGGACCTTGACTCAGGCAAACTGTAGGATTCATGACTTGGATACAGCAGAGGCTTTCAGGCCTAACAAATCTAAAGCAGAGTTGAAGATTTTTTTATAAAGATATTTTTAATGACCTAAACCATGAAGATTAAGGGAGAAAGAGAGGAACAGAAACACAGACATAGTCAAGTACAAGGGTGTCGCTATATGCTTCCCAAGGGAGAATGGGCAAAAGGAAGCCTGAACAGTAAGTAAGTCATGCCCAAGGAGGGAGAGGAAGGGAAGGAAGGGGGTGAAGTGGGCAAAGGCAGGGAGGAGGAAGGGACAGGAGTGTCTAATTATGGGGTAGCCTGCTCACATGACTCCCAAACCTCTGGGGAGAAGCCCCCAGAAGGCCTACTGATGTATGAGAGATAACTTGGGCTCACCACCAGCTCATTCATCCTCACAGATACAGAGAAGACTGACAGACCGCGTCACACAGTGCACAGTGTCAAATGTGGGTCAGAGGCGGTGCTGAGCTGAAGGCTGGACACTGCATTTTTTATTTTTTTATATTATTATTATTTTGGTTTTTTGAGACAGGGTTTCTTCCTGGATGTCCTGGAACTCACTCTGTAGACCAGGCTGGCCTCGAACTCAGAAATCCGCCTGCCTCTGCCTCCCAAGTGCTGAGATTAAAGGCGTGCGCCACCACTGCCCGGATGGAAAAATGTCTGTCTTAAGGATGGAGAAATGGCTCAGGTGTTAAAAGCACTTACTACTTTTGTGGAGGGCCCAGATTCTGTTCCTAATCCCCATATGTCAGCGAGAGGCTGCATATAACTCCATTTCTAGGGGATCTGATACACTCTTCTGGCCTGTGTGGGCTCCTGTGTTCCCATACAAACCCTCCCACACACACATACATAAAATAAATAAAAAAAAATTAAAGTCACTTTTATTTATCTAGCCTTGGATGGGAGAGCTTCCCCAGAGTGCTTACCCGAAGCTCTGTTGGACTTGTAAGACGTTAAGGGTTCTGATTGCTTATCTATAATATCGCTTGCTCAATTTTCGTGAGAGCCGCAGGTTGTTAGGGTTTGCATTTGCTCTATTTTTGCCTTGTTGAGCAGGAAGAGGGTGGGTGGGAGGGCAGATACATCTTAGAACTGAAGAAGGCTTGTAAATATTTTCCTACTTCTTTGTTGTTAATTATGAGATGTTTAATATAAAATATACATTCCCCTCGATGCTCACTGAACTTGGAGAGGGCTGTTTGGGCTAGACTGGATGGCTAGCCAGCTCCGTGGATTCTTCCCCATGGTCTCTGCTTTCCCGGTTGCTGAGGTCACAAGCACATATCCGCCTGGCATTTACATGGGTCCTGGAAACCTAAACTCGGGTGATTTACTCACTAAGCCCTGTTAGGCAAGCATTCTACCAACTGGCCTGCATTTCCAGCCCCGAGGATACTAGTTTATTCATCCCACCTCTGTCTTGTTCTCCCTCTAGACCTCTCAACTCTTCGTTTCTCCTGTCACCCTGAACAACTTTGGGATGCCAACTTTCATAAGCCAGTCTTTTGTTTGTTTGTTTGTTTGTTTGTTTTGAGACAGGGTCTCTCTGTGTAGCCCTAGGCATCCTGGGACTCGCTCTGTAGACCAGAATGGCCTTGAACTCTGAGATCTCCCTGCCTCTGCCGCTCCAGCGGGATTTAAGGCATGCGCCACCACCTTCTCTTCCCAGCCTTTCCCTCTTTCCACACCCTCCTTGCTTTTGGAGTCTGTAGGATCAGATTTGCCACATGGCACATAACTGCGGAGTCTCAGTTTTCTCCTCTTAGAAACAGGACTCCACTGGATTGCTTTAAGGAATAGACGTTGGGCGTGGTGGCGCACGCCTTAAATCCCAGGACTCGGGAGACAGAAGCGGGCGGATCTTTATGAGTTCAAGGCCAGCCTGGTCTATATAATGAGTTTCAGGACAGCCAGGGCTCGTTTCTGAGCCATCCAAGTCTGGGAACGAAGAAATTCTTCACTGTTTGGACAGCCCTCCAATCAGAGCGAAGAAGATTGTTCCCGTCTTCCGTGCCTAAACAGACCAATCAATCATCGTTCCGGAGCGTGGCGCAAATCGCCACTGGAGGATCTTGGACTGTTCTGGGCTCCTATACAGAGCATCTTGACTTGCAACCCCCTTCACAGCCTCGAAAGAAGGATCCTTTGTCATCCTTATCCCAGCACCCTAAATCCTATCGTCCAAACCGGCTGGTCGGCGGGAACCGGAAGTGTACACCAGGGACGGGTCCCCAGTGATCTCCGCCGGAAGTAATGATTGTCAAGGAGTTACCTTCGCTCAGCATGGCGGCGATTCCCCCAGACACTTGGCAGCCGCCCAACGTCTACCTGGAAACTAGGTGAGGATTGGATGAAGGGAGGAATTGGCCGAGGAGACGCGGGTTCATGCCTCAGCGGCCAGGTTAAGAAAGGCCGGCCTGACTCGCAGGTTGCCCGCATGGAGCTGCGGCCGGGAGTACCTGTGAGCTCTGAAGGGACCTCAGGGGAGCCCCGCAACATCGCGGAAGATCTCTGCTACTTCTGTTTGCTGTTCTTTTTCTACGCCGTTCATTAGTTCATTAACCTTTATCCATCTTCATTCATTCATTCATTCATTCATTCACTTACTTACTCATTCTCGACAAGTGTGTGTTGAGCACACAAGCCATGCGTACGTAGGACCTGGACTTTTGAAAACACAATTCTAGATAAAATAGTATATTACGGTGAAGGAGACGGATGTGTAAACACCACGGGACAAGTAGCAGAGTGGTCTGAACAAATTGCTTTGAAAGTAGAGGAAGATTTCTTTTCCCCCACCATCCAAGAGCGATCTTTGAGCTGGGGATGCGGCTTAGCATTACCCGAGGCCCCCAGCTCGGCCTACAGCACCGTATATACTCGGTGTGGTTGCACATGCCTGTAATCCTAGCCCTCTGGAGGTGGAAGCAGGAGGATCAGAAGTCCAGGGACTGGGCTGGGCTGGGCTGAAGAGAATGCTTACCTTAACATATAATTAAGCCACTTACTAGTGCCATGCCTCCGGTGTGTGTGATTGCATTCTGTTTCCTATGCTAGCACCTCCTATCATGAAGGCTTTGTATCACACTCCCCCACCCCCAGTTTTAGCTCCATTTTACCTGATTTTCACAGTGATTGAAGGGAACTTTGCTTAGAGCCTGGTCAGCATGTCTACCTTAGCCCCATTCAGCCTGCTCCTGTCTTCTGAGTGTAGACATGAAGAAGGCACAGGCCACTGCTCCCAGCTCTGCAGAGTGCTCACACTGCTGGACCTCCTGAACCTGGGCCATACAGATTCAACTCAGTTCTCACTGAGTCCCCAGAGTTCAGTGGGTAACATACAGCAGGAGTCTGTCTTATCCTTTAAAGGTACTAGAAGAGGATAAAAGCACTCATACTGGGGGTATGTGGACATGAGTATTTGCTTTACACATTTTCTTAGGGTTTGTTTGTTTGGCTTTTGATTTTGGGTGTTTTTTGTTTGTTTGTTTGTTTGTTTTTCGAGACAGGGTTTCTCTGTATAGCCCTGGCTGTCCTGGAACTCACTCTGTAGACCAGGCTGGCCTCAAACTCAGAAATCCGCCTGCCTCTGCCTCCCAAGTGCTGGGATTAAAGGCGTGCCCCACCACTGCCAGGCGTAGATTTGGTTTTTGATTATGTGTGTGGGTGTGTGCCCATGAGTGCAGAGGCCAGAGATACTGGAACCCCTGGAGATGGAGGTCCAGGTGGTTGTGAGCCTCCTGGTGTGAGTGCTGGGAGCTGAAGTGTGGTCCTGGAAGAGCAGTCCATGTCACTGAGTCATTTCCAGTCCTGTTTGACCCACTCTTAACGCACGAATTGCTTTCATTTTTCTGTTCAAGTTTGGTTTTAATCAGTGAAATGTTTATATGATCAAAAAAAATTATAAGTTAGAAAATGTATTTAGTAGCCAGGCGGTGGTGGCGCACGCCTTTAATCCCAGCACTTGGGAGGCAGAGGCAGGTGGATTTCTGAGTTTGAGGCCAGCCTGGTCTACAGAGTGAGTTCCAGGACAGCCAGGGCTACACAGAGAAACCCTGTCTGGAAAAAACAAAAAAAAAAAAACAAAAAAAAAGAAAAGAAAATGTATTTACTGAACATCCTGCCTCTTATCTGGTCAGTTGTCACTCCCCAGCCTCTAGACTGATGGAGATGTCTATAAACTCACACTTTAATGTCTTATTACATCTACAGATGACATGGGAGGCCTTTTTCCTCGTTTGGGTTGGTTTCAGAGCATCAGTATATGCTCTTAGAATTTTGGCTTGTTTATGGTCGTTTTGCTTAGAACGTACATATGCCAGCAGCCATCCCGTGTGTCACGCTCAGGTGATTGGCTGAGGCTTTGTTGCTTCATGAGTTGTTGTCTCCTTCCGAGTGTGAACTCTGGGCACAGGGTCAGCCGGTCAGGAGTCTTGGAGCCATAGCCACCGCCTGCTCTGACCTTGTGGCCTGGCCTTTGCCTTGTCCTACCACAGCATGGGGATCATCGTGCTGGAGTTGTACTGGAAGCACGCACCGAAGACCTGCAAGAACTTTGCGGAGCTGGCTCGGCGGGGCTACTACAACGGCACCAAGTTCCACAGGATCATCAAGGACTTCATGATCCAAGGCGGTGACCCGACAGGCACAGGTACGTTTACGACGCCATGCACATCTTAAGTCTCATTCTGACACAGCTGGATGGCAAGGCAGCCACAGCTTGCATTTCTAGCCTCCTGTTCTCTGAGAAGGATCTAATCCTCTGACCTTCAAGCCCTCACCTGCCCAGTGCTGGGATCTCTGTCCGCTGCCATGTGCAGTTTCTGTAGTGCTGGGGCTTGAGCCCAGGGCTTAAAGTATACTGGGCGAGCACCCAACTGAGCATTCAGTAGCACCCACTCCCCACCTCCAGCATTGTAAGACCCTGACCCCCAGTGAGACACCGAGGTGCAGATCAATGCAAAAGCAAGAAGCTTATTTTCCAGCGTGTCAAGGTTGACCTTCAATTAGTCCCTCAAGGGGGGTGACTAGAAGGCGACCCTGAATGGCTATTACAAGCAGTTTTGTTGTTGTTGTTTGTTTTTTGTTTGTTTTGTTTGTTTTTTGTTTTTCGAGACAGGGTTTCTCTGTGTAGTCCTGGCTGTCCTGGAACTCACTCTGTAGACCAGGCTGGCCTCGAACTCAGAAATCCGCCTGCCTCTGCCTCCCAAGTGCTGGGATTAAAGGCGTGCGCCACCACTGCTGGGCTACAAGCAGTTTTTATACACAGGTTACATCAGCAAGGTTACAGTTCAGACTTATTGAAGCATATTGAACTTTAAATCTATTGGCTAGCAAGCATGACACACATTTGAACTCTACCTGGGACTTTGCAGAGGGTCAGGTGACCATTGGTCAGCACATTCTGAGAATTTTTTTCCTGTGAGTGGAACTCAGCCTAGCCCTGACCCAAGGAGGGTGGGGGTAAGGCTGGCGAAAGCCCCCAGGCCCCTTCAGCAGCAGCACCACCAGGGTATCAGTGTAGCCCAGGCTGTCCTTAAATTAAACTCCTGATCTTCCAGCCTCCACCTCACATTTGCTGAGTTACAGGCACAGGCTGGCTGGCTCTAATTCTGATTCTGCTGACAGTCCCTGCCCTCCTCAGAGCTGTGTGTGTAACTCACTGAGGAGAATCTCTGCTCCTGAGCAGGTGATACCCGTGGGGTAAGATGCAGTGGCGTGGAATTGGTTCAGTCAGGAGTGAAAAACAGGCCTTGGAGAACACAACTCTGCATTCCTTTATTCTCATTCATTTGACAGATGTCTGAGGCAGGGGGATCTCTGAGTTTGAGGCCAGCCTAGTGTACAGAGTGAGTTCCAGGACAGCCAGAACTACATAGAGAGTCCCTGCCACAAAAACAATAAAACAGAAACAGACGGAAGTGGGCCTGCTTTGTCTGTGACTCTAAGCTCTAGGGATATAGCTGTGAGCAAATTCGCAGAGACACACACCTACTCTCAGACCAGCAGGGAAGGGGAAGGGGCTCCCGTTTTAGTAGAAAACCGGAAGAGGCCTCCGTGGGATGCTGTTAGGGAGGCTGTGTGACTGGAGAGAGCTGGGCGGAGCCCATAGGGGCCTGAGTAGACCTTAAGGAAGGAAGGATAGACGGGTGTCCTGAGTGTGTCCACTGCTGTGAGTAAAGCGGTAGGATCGATCGGTCAGGCATCACTCGGGCTGCTGCTTGGAGAGTACATGGAGGGGACAGAAAAGAGAAGAGCGCAGGCCCAGATCGGGGAGAGGCCGCTTCCATCCAGGTAGGCACACTCAGCGGTGTAGGCGGCTGTTGAAAAGGTGGTGAGACACCCCCTGCTCCATGGGAGTACGAGTGCACCGCCGCCGCCCCCCGCCCCAGGTCCTGCTGTTCGAGTGGTGCTGGGAGCCGTGCGCATGCGCAGCACTGTACCACCTGCGGTGCGGCCCCAGCCCAGCGAGTTACATGTGCTGAATTTGCTGACTCTAAACAGATGGCCTGAGAGAAGATGGTCAGTGTCTCTGGGGCCTCTGTCTGGTGGTGAAGGAGGAAGGCTGAGCTCGGAGCCCTGTGTGTGGAGTGAGAGGCAGGTTTAGAACCGGAAGTCAAGAGCTTGGGCTTTGTAAAGGGTTTGGTTGAAATTCTTGAGAATCCTTATGGATAGCGTGGAGTGTGTAGCTGGAAATGAACATGGAGTCAGAGGGAAATCTGGCAGGGTGGTAACTAAGTACCTGTGACTCCTAGTGTTCATGTTGGGTCCGAGGACCTTTCTGGAGTTGGTTCTCAGCTTCTCACTTGGCTGATCTGTCTGTTCAGGCTAGCTGGCCCGGAAGCTTCTGTCAGGTTCTTCTGTTTCCGTGTCCCATTGCGTTACAGATGGGTGCATCACTTGATTTGACTGAGTTTGGGTCAGCAGGTTTGCATGGTAGCCGTTGCCCAGCTGAACCATCGCCCTGGCCAGGGTCCCGCCCTCAGGCTTTTTATTACCAGGGCTGAGGGTGTTGTAATTTTGGGTTTGTTCCTGTTTAAGACTTTCTGCCTCCTGCCTTTGTGCTTTAAAAGGGCCATAAGTAGTAAAGTATTACATTGGGCCATGTTCATCTCCTCAGGTCTTTTTTAGACAATTCTGGTCATTGCCTTCTGGTTTGAACACAGTTTCAGGAAATCCGAGGCCAGATGCATTTCCCTCCAGTCAGTGAGTGAGCCTGTGGAAGCATTTCCCGATCATGCTTACTGCCTCCCAGGAAGTGCTGTGTTGTGCCTTTCTCTTTCTTCTCTGACTTCTGTATTTCACACTGAACACCGTCCACGTTGACATAAATAACCCCACCAGCCCTTACTTCAGCTTTCTGTGAGACTTTCACTTGTTTCTGCTTACCCTTCCTTGCCTCCAGTTAGGACCTGCCGCCCCCCAGGTGCCTCTGTGAGGCCATCTTCCTCTGTGTCTTTGGATCACGGATGGTCCCCGGGCTTGGCAGCCCCTCTGTTCTGTCAGTCTCCTTTAGCCCCAGGAACACACAGCACCTGTCTTTTGGAACAGTGGGCCACTGTTAATTTCACTCGCTTAGCAAATACATGCTCTAGTCCACTAGGTCTCCTGCCCCATTCCAGGGCCTCTGAGGAGTGTTAAAGCCCAGAAGCCCAGGCTTCTCCATCCTTTTTGCAGCTCCCAGCTCCACAGGAAGCAGGCTGTTCTGTTTAAGGAAAGGGATGAGGTCGTGACTGTGCACCTCTGAGCTAGTGTCCCGTGGTCTGTGTGTGTCAGGCAGGTTGTGTGTATCATGAGGGGACTGGTCCGACGGAGTGGGGTTAGGCCAGAAAGGAGGCCTTGTGGGCGGGCCTTGAAGGAATTGTAGAACTTAACTTATGGGAAGCCAAGGGTAGGGTGCTCTGATACATTTGCAGGGCAGCGTGGAGGAGAGCCTGTCATCCTGGAGACCCTGGTCCTGTGACAGACTCCCGTAAACCGTTCATTCTTTGAGACTGTAGTTGAGTGACTCTGAGGCCTCTGTTAGAGTCACACATCTCTGAACTGCACCTATAGGGAACAGAAGAGGAGCAGTCTAGGCAGATTTATGATCAGTGGGGAAAGGCATGGGGTCAGGGTAAGGTGGGCCAGTTAATGCAAATTCCACCAACCAAGGGTACAGGTTGATCTAGCATGGTCAGATTTCACTTGTCACTGGGACCCTTGTGACTGGAGAAGGAAAGAAAATACCTGAGAAGCTTAGTCTAGCTGGGATGGGCGGCAAGGGAGGGTCACATCCAGGTGTCAGGCAGTGCTGCGGGGCCCAGTGTGCTTAGACCTGAGTCCTGGCCCCACATGGTCACTTGTCACACATGCAGGTTAGGTAACTTTACTGAGCTCTTGTCAGGAGATGGAGGACATGGCTGTCCATTCCTCCCAGGGTTATCATGACAGCTAAGTGACTCGTGTTGGCAAAGCCTTGGCACAGAAACAATTCAAAAGAGTATTTATTTTGGTTAATTTACTTAGCATTTCACAGATACCTGCTAGACTCTCATCGTGGGCCTGGCTGCTACGGGCCTGAGTCCAGCAGGGAGATAGTCCTGACGAGAAGGCAGCCAGAGAGCGGTCAGGTGCTGTCAGGTGACTTGAAGATAGTGCCTGCTGGGGAGAGGGCAGGGTGTCTCCACCTTGGTGTTATCGGGTGAGGCTGGACGGTTCTGATGTGGGCTGGACCGGCACTGAAGGATATTTAGCAGCTGGCCTGGCATCCACCTGCTAGACAGTAGACCCTTCAGTTATGACAGGCAGAGCTGTTCCTGACATTGACCAGTGTCCACAGGACCACAGCCAACCCCTGCTGAAAACTGCTGGGCTAGAGGGTGGAGCAGTGCTGTTGGTAGTTGTAGGAAAGACATCTCTGATAAGGTTGACTAGAGCTCTGAGTACCAGGGTTGGGGCAGGAGCATGCCAGAGGTAATGCCAGATAGAGGCTGGAGACCCCGATGCTTGCCAAGACACAGGAGCCAGTGAGGCAGGGAGGGGACAGTGACCACAGACTGTCCTCTGGGATGGGGATGTGGATGGTGGATCTAGTCCTGACTGGTGAAACGCACAGGGAGGGGTTGAAGCAGGGCGGTGTTGGACCCTCCAGCTGCTTCATGAAGAAGCCACCTATATGTGGGAGAGCGAGCGGGGCTGGAACCCAGAGGGAGCTGGGTGCTGGAGGTGGATGGCTGTAGTTTGGCCCAGGGTTCGTGTGATCCCTGGGAAGCAGACACTCAGACATGCTCAGATGTTCAGAGATTTACAGGGGGAGAGAACCGGAGGGGAAGAGGTGCGTTCTCAGGGCACCACAGGCCAATGGAGAAGGGGCTGCAGGAACAGGGAAACACTGGCAAGTCCTGGAGGGGGTGACACCAGCTGTGAGAGGCTGCTGGGGACCAAGGGAGGCCCAGAGGAGCCGTGGACGAGTGTGTGGGGAGTCCTCAGGAGGGAAGGAGAGAGTGAAGAGAGGAGATGAGAAGCCTGTTCCTGTGAGGGGACATAGGGCACAGAGGGACTGTGGAGCGGGGCTTTGTTCTGATTCTAAGATAGAAAATATTGATGATGTGCTGACAGGAGAGGAGAGACAGGACAGTTGTAGCTGTGGGCTGCCTTACAGGGGTAGCC